TTACCTCACATGTCCAATTTTTTAATTTATGTCAATTTAATTTCCTAAGTTCAATGGTTTGCTTGAACTAAATTTCATTGTATACTAATATGTAGTGGCAATAAACTAGTGATGCTCCGATTGATCGGCCACCGATCATGATCGGCCGATATTGGCTAAAAATAGCTTGATCGGCGAACCCCAAAAGCGCCGATCAAAAAAGCCGATCACTTGACGTAAATTACTCGCGCGACTTTTTCACACGTGCATGCACGGCGCACAGGTAAACAACAGCAGAGCGGAGCTTACCAGTGGCAACATGAGTTCTCCCGTCTGGAAGTTTTTCAAAGTGTCCGATAAAGACGTAAAGTTAGCCGTTTGCAATGTATGTCGTGATGAAATCCCTCGAGGTGGAAGCAAGCAACGGCATTTTAACACCACTAACATGATTAGGCATCTTAGAACACGCCATACTGATACAACTGAATATGCCGAGTATGAGAAACTAAACCACTCTGCTCTCGGGGAACATTTCATGTGTTGACCCTGGAGGTGTCAGGCAACAGTGCTGACCAAAGTGTCACTGCCCCTCCTTCAGTGTGGGGCGCCAAGTGTCAAGCGCTTGATTCTTCAAGAACTTGACTGTAGCCTATTTCTACAGTTTTTTTTTTTTCAATATAGTTAATTTAGAGTTTGTTTCATTTCTACAAATGGTGCAAACTCTGCTAGATTACAGATAAAAGATTCCCATTCCCCTGCCATTCTGTGATCGGCAGTGATCGGCAATTGGCAGATCATGATCTCGGTGATCGGCCCCAAAAATGCTGATCGGAGCATCTCTACAATAAACCGATCTAATCAAATCTTTGTGGGTTAGTATTTTCTTTCTTAGCAAGAATTGGTCACTGACTTGATCCTGCTGTTATGACTGTTGGGTCAACATTTTCCGGGAGACCATTTAGTTTTGGTTTTGATGTATTTTAGGGATGCACCGATCGATCGGCCAGTGATTGGAATGGGCCGATTTTCAGCGTGATCGACCTGATCGGTGATCAGCCGATCAGTCCCACGTATTTCCGATTACGAACTGTTCTTACGCATGTGCAATACATCATATGCGCAGTCGCGTGCACTTTCAGGCACACAAAAATGTCCGTTATTTGGAAGTTCTTCAGCGTGAGCCAAGCAGATGCAAAATTCACTATCTGCAGCATGTGTAAGGGCCAGGTACACCGTGGGGGAACCAATACAAAGACATTTAACACAACAAATTTAATTAGACATTTAAAAACACATCACCCCAGTGAACACGCTCAGTTTGAAGAAGCTAGCAAAGCAAAAGCTGCTAGCAAAGCATGTTCGAAGCTATCTAGGAGCCAGCAGTCTGTCCTATCTTCCGTTGGTATAAGCCAGGGGTGCCCACACTTTTTCAGCTCGCGAGCTACTTATAAATGACCAAGTGAAAATGATCTACCTACTATAAAAATGCAAAACCATATAGTTATTTATAAATATATTGAGTATTCTTTATTAATAATAATTCCCCTTTGGGATAAATAAAGTATTTTTGAATTGAACTGGTTTTTTTTTTAGTTCCTTCACCTTTCTCTTTCTCAGCTTGCTTTTCGGAGGGAAGTTAATGTCGTAGTTTTTATGAACAGTCCGAAAATGCCGCTCCACATTTCCCTTCTTCGGAATAGCATTGGTAGACCTTTGCGATCGACCAGTAAATCGCAATCGACGTATTGGGCACCCCTGGTATAAGCAGTGAAAAGAGCAATGAAATTACGAGGAAAATTATGAAATTCATGGCAGTGGATGACCAGCCATTTTCTGTAGTTGAGGATAGAGGCTTCAGAAATCTGATGAATTACCTCAGCCCAAAACACAGAATACCGAGTAGGCGTTACTTTTCGGACGTTGAGCTACCGGAGTTGTTTAATCTAGTGTCATGTCACACATGTTTATTAGCTGCATCTATTATTATTTTAAAGAATATCTTAATGTTTGGTTGTAGTTGGGCTTTTATTTATTTGTTTTAGCTCAATTTATTTGAATTTGTAAAGTTTAATAAGAGTTTGTTTTGAAAATAAAGTTTTGAGGTGAAGAAAATGTGATTTTTGTATGTACAGTATTTGCTGTTCTCAGGGCAAAAATTGGTATCGGAAAAATTGGTATCGGCCAATCGCACATACCAAAAAAAAACGGTAATCGGGATCGGCCAAGAAAATTGCAATTGGTGCATAATACATTGATGTGTAGCCTGCCTGTAGACATGTTGGACACTTGTTTAATTGCTGACATCAAATAGTAATTGGACATCTTGCAGAAGTATTCATATGTATACCTGCATCACATATTGTTTGATGTATAGTGTTTGGCTGTAAACATAGCAGTTGTGTGGTAAACATTGTTTTGCTGGTGGTCATTGTTTCTATTCCATGTTGGCCTTCTTATAGACTAGTGAAGGCTATGGAAACGGGCCTCCAGGCAAGGTCCATCCCTGAGGTTGTGAAATCATTACTCTGTTCTAGCTTGATACGACCTCCCTTCTGGCAGCCGCCTTAGCTTCTCTACACCCATGTCACAAGTAATTTAATTGGAAAAACAAGGAACAGGGAAAGTGAAGAGTGCGATAGAATCCACCGCAAACACATTTATTTCTGTATTACAAACACAAATTAAGTTTTATTTTCAGTCTCTTTCCTTAAAAGACTGTGCAGTTTACTTCTTGTAAGCAGCTTTTGACCATTTCTTAATTGGCTTTAGTTGGCTTTGCTAAATACTATGTGCCTGGATGTAAGGCATTTATTTCTTTTCACCTTTAAATTTATTGGCATAAATAAAATGAATGCATGTTCTCATTGAAGATGAATCCCTCAAACATACCAAGTTACTTTTGAAAAGGAGACGTAAGTCTCACTTGTATGTATGTCTGTATGTATTTATGTATGTATGTATATATTTAAGAGGGAAGGTTAAATAGGGGGTCAGACTTCTGGTCTGGCTTGTCAAACATCTCAGCCAGACGGTGATGATATTAACTTCCATTCTCAGCCTTTGCAAGAGGCACCGCTTATTATGCAGTGACAAGCAAGCTCTGTGTCTCTTCAGCTAGAGGCGAGGGAAACTTGAGTTTTCTCTTGGTAAAAGCCTGTAAACTGTGGAAACACTTTTAACAAGACTGCCTCTGATTCGGTGCTGATGCCGTGAGAGGTGAGTACATATTTTCTGTCCGTGTGGTTGGCAGTCTGTTTACTGGAAGGGCCTTTGCTCTGCACATGTTCCCTTGTGTGCAGACGACCTAAGTGAGCCTTTGGAAATGCTTTTTTTTTTTTGTGGGGGGGGGAGGTGTTTATGATGGAGAAATGAATGAAATACAGATGATATTGAATCCAATGCAGCACAAAAATTCCAGTTCAGCAAAACCGTTAGACGGCCTGCTCATGCTACTCTCGAGTAAGCATATAAATCCTGGCCAAACATGGATGAAGAGTCTAGCTGTCCACACCAGGCATCCAGCAAGGAGCGAGAGTGCGGGTCGGGATCCTAGAATCTCCTGGCAGGCGCTTGTAACAGATAGGCTGGTGGAGTACCATCGAAAGCCAGGGCCAGCTGCAAGTAATTAAAGATGGCAGTTGGCGGGGGCAGCCGTGACGCTTGTGGCCAGGTCCTTCCATAATATTTGCATGATGAGTTTAGACGGTAGTAAAAGTTTTATCGTAGTGCTGCACTGAGGCCCCCCCGCCACAGCACATTGCAGTTTGTCATCCCCTTGATCACATCCGAAAGGTTATCTCAGCATCAGCCTGGTCAGTTTATGTAAAACACTTGCTGCAGCAGCTGCTTTTTATTTAATAAAAAAAAAAAGAGAGAAAAAGTGAGAGAAAAATGAACCTCCTCTTTTTTTTGGAAGCCTGACAGTAAGGGCAGTGTTTTGTCCGACGAGGTCCCAGAGTGCTCTTGTGATTATAGACCCGGGCGACGGTTCAGGGCTGCATCACACGCGCCCACTCACCACAGCCCGGCTGGGCACACTCACACACGTAAATGAGGAAGCTGGCCAGTCTCAGCAAAGAGAAACCAAACAAAAATAACACGCCCCCCCCAGGATTGTGGAGGATGGGATGCCAAGTGATTTACGTTTGGCCCAGAGCCTTTAAGGGATAGCAGCTTCCAAAAGAAGATGCAAATCGGCCCAAAGACCTAGTTAAATTTTATCGGCTCAGCCTGTGTTCTGCTCCCATATGTGGTGACGTGTATGGCTGTCGGGGCAGGGACGGTGAATGCGAACGGCGGTATGAAATGGTAACTGCGGCTGAGGGAACAGACGGTACCCATTAGTTAATCTTTTGTGGTACACAGTATTGGGTGGCTGAGCGACGTCAGAAAATCGGGATCACAGAGACGTTCCGAGCGAGGCCGGCTGACAGTGGAACCCCTGGCATGTCCGCCTTTCCCAACCTGTCCGTGTTTTTCTGAGCCCTGCTCCTCTGCATACCAAACATGGCCAGAGGGTATTGTGCTCGGGTTTCCCTAAAATAGCTCCCTGCCATCTGGGGAGGCCCTAGCTGCTGGGCCGGGGAGGGGCACGATGGGGAGCTGCAGTAGGCATTATTCTGTGGCAAAATGGCGAGGCCTGCTTATCTCTGCCTGCTGTCATAAGCAATTTTTAAGTCACCAGGGCGCTCTGCAGAGTGGTGGCCGGGCGGGGTGGGGATCTGGTGCCCCGCCGCAGGCTTTCGGGTGAACGAAGCAGCCAAAGCTCTGTGTTTATGAGAACTTTTCATTGCCAGAGTTGAATGTTATCCATATGTGGCCTCTGGGGATTGCTGGGAAAGGCCCCTTGCTCTGGAGGCTGGGCAAAAATCATGTATTTTATCCACTGTGAGCATAATATACATTCTGAGCTGTTGAATTGGGCTAAAACTGAAGTGTTTCACGGTGACCCTGTCTGTTTCCTTTGGAACTTCACTGACTCCCTCTGCCCCCTTCGTCTCTTTCTGTCTTTGCTCAGAATCAGTATATGACCTTCTCCCCAAAGAGCTGCAGCTGCCGTCCACCAGCGAGAACGACCCCACAGCCATGAGCCAGAAGAGCGGTGGAGAGGCGGGGCCCCCGCCCCCTGCAGCCCTCGCTTCGGGTAAGCCCCCATCTCGTGCCCTCGCTCTCGCCATCCCCCCCGTTGTCCTTCGTTGGCCGTGAGCAGTGCTGGCAATGGTTCCATCTTGCTTCCTGGAGTTCAGGCCTCTTTAGGCCACCTGTCTGGTCTTTTAAACACCTTCCAGCTGCTAGGAATGTAGAGTAAGTGCATGATCCGGACTGTAGCTGTTTGCGGAAAGGCTAGTGATGGCCCTTAAAAGTAAAATGGCCCTGTTTCTGTTTGTTTTATCTGTTTGGCCTGTATTATGATAGAGGTGATGGACTCAAAGCTTTTGGCTGGAGCGACAGCATGTGTTCTTCTCAGCCTCTGTGTGTGAATAGACTTTGGCTTATTTCAATTTCTGAAATTAGGTGGTGGGTGTATTTTAGTTTGTTCCAGCATGTATTGTTTCTTTTTTGAAGGTGATAATGTTCATGTTGTAGGTTTTTCTAGATATTCAGACAACAGACGCCCATTATTTTTGTTCCAAAGTGCATTTAAAATAGTCTGAGGTGGACCTTTTTGGAGTGATAAACGTTTTGCACCATTTTCAGACCCTTTTATTTGTAGACGGAATCTTGTATGTATAAGTGGCATCAGGTAGGTTGAAAGCAGAGCATAAAAGCTTTGAAAATTCAGTACTTTCATTAAAAGGAGCATTTTCCATCAGGTTGTATATTTGGCAGGAATGGAAGTGTTACACCAAAATCGTAACTCATTTTGGTTTCTTCACTAGTACTTTGTAGAGGTGCATGCAAGCTTAGGCAGTGCTGACCTTTGAGCTTGACCTCTGGTGTGAATGTTGTGCCTTGTAGTCAGGAAAAATACTTTTCCCTGTCTCGCTGCAGAGCGGCGCCACTTCTGGTCTTGGGGGGACAGAGATAATGGACTTATGAGCAAGTAAAATCGGTGCAAATGCCACGATTTATTATTAAGAAGGGGGTTCACAATTAAATGTCACAATTGCAATTGGCTTGTATCACCAAATCCTCTCACCACAGGCTTCACTCCATTTGGGAGCAGGTCCATTTGATCCACACAGGCTCAGCCTGAACAATGGAGATGGTCTGAAGCTGGGTTCTAAACCATTTCAGTACTGCTCACAGAACGTTGTGGTCCAATCTGCATAAATATTATAATAACGTGATTATTATAATAATGCAGTATGAAATTAGAAGTTTTACTAACTGTTCACTTGCATTTGTTTTGCAGAAGATGTTAATTGCCAGCTTATAAAGTGCTTAAGTTATTTCATACACTCACATAATTTTTTCCGAAACCGCTAACACGAGTGTTAAAATAGCTACCAAAAGCGAACCACCCAAGCCCTACTTGCCTGAGAAAAGTGGTAACATTCCACTCGCAGGCTTAATCAATTGCTTCCCTCACAAACATGTGAAACGCATAGTGGAAGAGAGGTGTAAAGCCACAATTTGGTTGTTTTGCACAGATCTGAACTGCACATTCAAAATGCAATTCACCTTAGTGTCTTTACTCTGCCCCTCATTGAAGTCTTTAGAGTGAGTTTCAGTAGAACCAGAAGTCTATTGCCTTTGGACATCAGTTCCTAACTGCAGGCACTTGCATCCCCCTGGCAAGACGGGGCTCTCTGGCTGTATCTGAAGGAAGGTGAAGTATTTTTCCAGTTTCATGATTTTTTTTGCTCCAAATTGGCCTTACCTTTTCTGGCCTCTTTTTCATTTTTATATATATATGATTTATTTTTGCTTTGGTTTCTTTATCCCCATTTCTGGAATCCAGACCTTTATATAAATGGCTTTAAGTGTGACAGTCTGGACTGGTTTTCACCGTTCAGTAGATGGGGAGCAGACCACTGGGTGAAACCTCGGGGGATGTTCTGACTGGTCTAGGGGGCAGAGGGGATGGTGGGTGGAGGAGCAGGCCTTGTTCTCCATGTGGAATTCCCCGTGTGTCCCGTCTTTGGGGTCACACTTGACAGCTCTGTTAGCACTTCTATCCAGGCCCCTCATTTGAGTCACTGCCGCAGATATACATGGCTGGGTGGCTGTACCAGCTCCCACCTCTTTAACCTCAGTATCTACTTTAAATTAACACCCCTGCACCCCTCCCCCCCAGTGTCTCTGGGACATGATTTATGGTATTCAGTATCAGTATTTATGGTACTCAGTATCAGTATTTATGGTACTCAGTATCAGTATTTATGGTACTCAGTATTGCCTCTTGTGGCTCTGCACAGGCAGTATCATTTGAATGCCGGGCTCCTTCTCCTCCTTAGTTCATTATCTGCCCCATGTGGTACCTTTTCTTTCACATTCATAACTGCCTGTTGCTGTCATTGAAATGTTACATGTTGTTTTCTTTTAGGATACAAGTATTAACGTCAACATGAACTATTAATGGAAGTCCAAATTCGGCTTTCGTCTTTGAAGAATAAATTTAAGAAATGTGGTCTAGTAATAGTGCATTTTGATAGGTTTGGCACCTGAACAACTGCGGAATGGGTGTCAGACGGAGCATCTCCCATTTTTAATGTTGATACCATCATGATAAAGGGCAGGACTACCTTCACTACACTGTGAGTCGGTTCAGTAAATGCCCGTCTGTGGCAGACGCTGTTGTCATGGCACCAACTGTTGCCCCTGGTGACACAAAGGCCTACCCGTCACCGTTATCTTGCGTCACATCCTTCCATTCAAGCGGCGATATTTCACTCCCCCCGCCCCCTACCCCCACCCCGCTGTCCCTGGGCAGGGCGTGTCCAATGTCAGGTAGGGATGTCAGCAGGAATCAGACTTTTAGTTCTGCCAAAAATCAAGGTTTGTTGCATGAGTTGGATGAAAATGCATTTCCTTCCTTGCAAGTCTATTTTTATGATAAATATGTCATAAAACTACCAGCAATTACTAAGAAACAGCCATCATTATGTTAATAAATTATGTAGTTTATATAGAAATTTTATAGCCTCTGGATATTATGTGCGCAGGAAACATTTAATTTAACAGTATTGATCCTGCTTTAACATGAACTAAAAATGTATAGAATAGCGAAGGAAAGTTTCGTATGTATTGCTAGGATGTCAGTTGTTTTTGCCATTAATGCATTTGACTTGCATTCTAGCTTGATCCTTCTAGCTTGGTCATTCTGTCAGTAGTGAAAACATTCAGTCCCAGAGACGCTTAACCCATCAAATCTCACTCAAAGCTACAGTCCGGTTTAGTCTAACATCCAGATATTTCTATTTTGCTTTTCAACTTTCATCGGGTTTCTCTTATTACTGTTATAACTGAGTAATTAAAAGATTTCCCCCCTGCTGGGTGTTTCTGTGGTATTCAGTAGGCAATCTGGAACGCTGTGTAGTGAAAAGACAGGCAAATTTCTGCCAGCGGTGACATTGGAAGGGATGGGGGGGGACCTCTACCCCCACCCACCTCCGCTCTCCATCCCATCAGAGGAGGCAAGGGTTTCTGGGACACGTGGCTCTGGGAAGCCCCCTGATGCTGGGTATCATACTCAGGACCCTCCACCCGACTGAACACAAATGGGATCTGTTACCATTTTATTTTTTAATAAAACCAGTGTCTTGAATACAGCTTCACCCTCTCCTGGAGTGTCTGATTTTCTTCTGGTCACTGCTTTAGGTGTCTAAGGTGTTTCTTAGCTCATTCTGTCTGCCTCTGCTGTTTTGGGAGAATAATCTCACTGGACCTCGTTACCCATTACTTCTGGGAGGCTGCCAACACTTAAACATATATAAATAAATAAAAAGGAATAACATTATGGTCCAAAAAATGTGTAAAGGCAACAGCTGGTTTGCAGCCAGGTTGAGTTTACCAACATAAACATCAATGACCAGGTAAACCTCAAATGTTAAAAGGATGACTTCACGTTACTGAAATTGACAGATTTAGTAATGGAACTGCAGTTAGATTTTGTACAAAACCATGCTTTTTAAATTCCGCTTTGGTTACAACCGAAAAATGGAAATTTGAATAAAAATAAACATTTTATCTTTTTATTGGTGGCTTCATTTTAATGGACTTTGTACCTCCTTTATGTGTGTCTTAAACTCTTTCCTCAGCACTAATGGCTGTTGAATACTGCCACGTCACAAAGGAAATATTCAGTACAGCCCGCCTGCCCCCTTAAAGAAGGCAATGCTTTTGGAATAAGATGACAGTCTTTTGTCTAAGAGCTTCTGATGGTCATAATCAGTACGTGTATACTTTTCTTAGCTGTGTGCACTGTAAATAATTAGGCTATGAAATTGGCTTGGATTTCTTTGTGTAATGTCAATTTAACCCTGCTGTAATTAAAGTATCCTTTTGTGTGTTCATGCATCATGTGGTATGTTTTAGACATAATCGGTTACCCAACCAAAGGAAGTGTCATGAAGTATCAAGAGTTGGCTCTATAGTGCTTCTGTTCCATTGGCCATTATGGCTTTACTACAAAGAGTAGTAAAGTTTACAAGATGCTTCTAATTTCCCGGGGGGTTGAGCAGGTTCGTTAAATCTGCCATCCTGCTCTGCAGCATGACCATGGAAGGGTGTTAGTCCTGAAAAGCAAGCTAATCAGAGAAACCCTGGGTGCAGGATCACCTATTATACCAAACTGTTGACTGCACTAATCACAGTGTATTTTGTCTGCTGAGAAAGTGTCGCTTCAGTATGACTGTGATTGTGCCTATTTTTAGCTATTACAAAGTAGATAAAGTTCAACAATTTTAGGTGCTTAAAAATGCAGAAATTCCATGATTGCCTAATGTTAATGAAATAAAAACAAAATGTTTTGAGAATTTTTTAACCGCTGTATCTGGTGGTTAAATGATTGGAATTTGCTTCAGAATTCTTCATTGTAGAACAAAGTCCAGGTCTCTAGGCTCGGTGCTAATGGAATTTTAATGTCACAAAATAAAAAGATCAAAAAATTTAACTGAATGGGGATGGGACAGTTGATGTTGCCCTGTCTTTTCTTCCCTTTCCCCATTATTCAGCAATTCTGGTAGCCTGTTTGGATCAGTGGTACACGAACAGTCCAACATGGGGGAATCGTGGGAAAGCAATAAGTAAGGAATGGGGGGGTAAGCTTAGCTTTCACATTTCAGGCTCTAATTCCAGTGACCAGTACAGATCCCTCCACTCCCTGTCCATCTGCTGGACATTTCTATATTTCTTTTTGTTAAACAGTTTCAGGTGACTCATTTTCCCCACTGGAAATACTACAGCTGTCGCAAGGACAGATTCTTACATGGTCACGTGACCGCCTGTTAGGACAATAACAGAAGGCCACTCCCTTAACACAGCACAGCACAGGCCCGCCCACAAATAGTGCTTAGCCTGTAACAACAACACGACCAGAGGGGGCAAAACCAAGAGCAGGGAACCTAAACAAAGCTGAGGGATTATAATAAGCAGGCTTCACTCGCTGGTGCTCAGAGTGTTGGAAAGAACAGCCTCTCCACTGTGTTTTTAAAAGTGTGAGCCACATGGAAGCAATTTGACTGCTGGCGGTGAAATCTGCTTGTTGAAAACAATGTCAGCAGACAGGCAGTGTGGGGACTCGTGCTCTCAGTGGCTGCAGACCGCGAGCTGTGGTTCCCATTTTTCTTTTTTTTTCTTTCTTTTTTTGGTTCTTTGTGAAATACTTTGCATGACAGACATTCTTAAATGATTTTTAAAATATATATGTTTAAGCTGTTTTCCATTATTTAAAATACTTATGCCAAGGTTTCCAAAAACCACTGCTTTTATTTCATTCTTTAAGTTATAGGATGGAATATGAAATGTGTGAAAATGGAACTGGATTAACTCATGTGCTCCAGGTCTCCTCTGGAGGAATCTGACTGGTCTTAGGGAGTCGGAGCCTGTCGGGTTAATGGCCGAATGGCTGGACTGACGTGCAAATAAACAGAACTGTATCCGTTATGATTTGCAGTGTCTGCCCTCAGTGTTGTTAGAACGCCTCAGAATAGCAAACCGTCACGTGACATCAGTTCGTCGGTCTCTGAAGATCAGTGTCCTTAAAGCCTGTTTTGGAGCAAATACACCAAAACAACCTAAACTGAGGACCTTTCTCAGCATCTGATCTCCTATGTCTTTAAGAAGCAACGTGCATCTGCGATAAGAGCCCACTCTGCAAGCAGTAGCATCCAAAATGACTCTGCTTAACAAAGACAACACTGTTCGTTAGTTGTGTGTAGAAATAAATGAAGTCATCATCCTTTGCGCACTCAGTTACGTTTTCACTCTCGAAGGGTCCTGTGTGTTGAAGGCATCATGCTGGTACCGTCCCTCAGTGTGAAAGGGAGGCAGAGGGATGAGCAATTTGAAAGCATTCTTGAACATCTGGCAGCCTCCCCTTTCCTGTGTCCTCTCCTGCTCTGCGGTTCTCAACAATCGTGGTTTTTGAATGCCATTAAAAAATGTGCATTTTTCTTCCTAATAACATTCCGTACGCATGCTTACATTATGAAAATTTAAGCAAAACTTTTTACTTGTATGTTTCACAAGAAAGTTTGCATGATTATTATATTCCCAGGCTAAAGTCTTTTTATCAACTAGCATAATGAAAATAAGCAGCTTTTGCAGTTGTGCCAGTCAGCTCTTTGATGTTTTGTCTTTAGCTTTTTTCTGCTTTTCTTGATCATCATTGATTATTCAGAAATGATCAAGTATGGCCAATGCTGAGGTTTGAATTAAACGTTTTGTCTAAACTGTCTAAACAGTAAGAAGTAACATAGCCTTTCTGTTTTAGGGCCATTTTTCCCACATATGGGAAATGTAACCGGTTTTCAGAAATTATTCTGTCTGTGAAAGTCTCAATTAGACCAAAAACTTTTTTTTTTTTAATTTTGTTTGTGTTTGTCTTCATTGGTTTGTTTCGGAATCCCGCTGATGAAAATACATTAAAATACCAGAGAGCCTATCCCCTATCTACACAGGCTTTCTTGCTATGCTAAGAGCTGCTTTTATTTTGGTGAATCATTGGGTGCATGTTTTTTTTTTTTTTAAATCATTTTAGCAACTGTACAGTGAGAATGTGCTTCTTGTTGCCTTTCGGCAGAACATCAGAGCACTTGTGTAAATACTAGGTAAAAGCAGCCTTTGAGATTCCTTGCCGCTTCATCTCTTCTGGCATTCCTGCACTTTGAGGTGTGCCTTTCAGGCCCGTGTGTATCAATCTCTACACGCCTGGCCCTGTTTTTTTTCCCCCTCTCTCCCCCTTCTCCTGTTTATCCAAACTCACTGCTGCGTCTCAGTTTTGCAGCTTGTCCCTGCTGTGGTTGGATTGGAGTCGCCGCCATCATTTTTATCTGGTGGTGTCCGGCCACAGTTCCTCCTCCTCAGTATTGGTGACCGGTCTTATGCTCCACTTCGCTAATAACGATGCCTGCTGAAATGCTTCTCTTTGCCCCCTCCCACACACATGTCTGTAAGCAAAGGGGTCTTCTGGGACTTCTGTAGTAGACCTCTATGTTGTAGTAATACTTGGCGAGGAATGTTGCCCTCCGACATTAGCCGAATATTAGTGGAACAAAGATTTTCCCCGGCACTTCCCCAACACTTACTCCGTAAAGCAAGTATGGTGATTAATCCCTTTCATGTGTCGCTTCCAATATGCCAAGAGTTTAAAATAGTTTTTAATAACCTGGTCTGTAAGCTGTTTGCTTCAATTTGACGTAATCTGATTACTTTTAAATACTTACCAACTGGAGAAAACTCATTAACACAAAACACAATAGCATGTCAGATTAAATGGAACATAGCCTATGACACTACTCCATTTCATTACTCTCAGCTTTTATCGAGCCACTCCTGTCATCTGCCAGAAGCCTGCATGCAGGTTCTCCATAACCACCTCGTTCAGAATGCTTTTGAATTGTGGTCAGCCTTCGCTACCTCATGACCGTAGACTCGTCTCTAACACCTTCTGTAGATTTGTCAGATGACCCAGGTTGAAGGAAGTACAAATGTTAAACTGTCAGTTCCATTTTCACAAACTTTGCTTTAAAAAAAATCTATACAAGATTAAACCTTGAATGACCAGCTTTTGTTGCTCATTCGTTGTCTCATTTTTATTCCAGGAAGTTCCCTCTGAAGCAGGGAGTGTCTGCATATAAAATGGTCTGCAGTTCTCTGCTTCATAGGTCAGAAGCTTGTTTACTTTGTTTCCATGGCTACGCTCAGTCCCAACCAAATTGTTTCAACCTGTGTGGGGGAAAAAAGCTCCAATTGGCATGCATCATCTGACACATGATAATCGTCATTCGCTCTGAACTTTTTTCGAAAATTGATCTGTTAAGATTTTTTTTTTCCCTTTGTTCCATTAAAGTATGATGAACATCATAGAACAATCACAAGCGATAATTTTTTTTTTTTATGTGCCTCAGTTTACGTTTTAATCAACTTTATTTCCTAAATTATGTTTTTTTTTTTTTTTTTTTTTTTTTAAATATAAACAATCAGTTTTTGGAAGAAGCTGCATTTTTGAGATGGAGGCCAACATTTTCTCAATTTCAAATTGAACCTTTATATGAAACCACACATTTTTTTGTAAATATATGCATACAGACACATACAGTCGACATATTTGCACACACAGCACACACAAATTATGATGCAAAATAAAAAAAAAACTTGAATTTAAAATTGGGAGGAAAAAAAGAACGAAAAATTTCGCTGCTTGAATGGGACTGCTAGCCAACGCTGGTGGAGATGCCTTTATTCACTGTGCGATTGTACACACCACAGATGCCATCTCCACCTCCTCTTCTATGCCCATGGGAGGTCCTCGCAGTGCTTTTCCTGCCTCTTCCAGCCCCACCATTCACTCCTCTACCTCAGTCACTGACCGGGCCTCCGTTCACGACAGCTGCACTCCGGCTGAGGGGGTAAGTACCCGAGGGGGAGCGGAGATGCTTGGTGTGGAGGGCCAGCTGGGAGGCACCAGCACGTCCGGGGGCGGAGGTCCCGGCAGCGGCAGTGGTGGAGGTGGTGGTAGCACCAGGGCCGGGGGCAGTGGAGGAGGCACAGGAGGTGCAAGTTCCGGAGGAGGAGGAGGAGGACCCGGCGCCCAGCACCAGACTACCCCATCCAAGCGGCGCACGGTGCTGAACATCTCACCACCACCGGAAGACCTGTTCGACGACAGCCGCATGTCCTGCCAAGACGAGCTGCTGCCAGACTCAGAGCAGAGCAGCAGCATGTGGATGGATGACTCTGCCTCTAACTTCAGCCTCATGAGCTCCAACTCATACAACGACAACAACGAGGTGCCCCGCAAGTCCCGCAAGCGCACGCCGCGGCAGCGACCCGGGCCCAAGCCCGCCCCGGCCGAGGAGGCCAGCATGGACGTATTCGATGCGGACAGCGCCAAAGGGCCTCACTTTGTCCTGTCTCAGCTGGGCCCCGACAGCAAGCCCGGTCCCAAAACGAGGTGGGTGTACCTGGCCTCTGAAAGGACCCTCTGCTAGTCACATGTCCCTCTGGGCTGCCTTTTGAAAGGCTCTCCTGCATTGGTGTCACATGGACGCTGTCTGCTACTTGGTCATTCCTAAAGTGGACCAAAAGAAATGAAATAGATCTGGATTTTTTTAACGTGAGCAAATTACCCACAAATTGCCCATTACCCAAAATAATAATAATAATAATGAAAACGAACAAAATCCTACACACTTAATATTTAAGGGGTTTCATTTGAATAATCACAGTAAATCCATCCATCTTCCAAGTGTTTATCCTGGACCCTCCCCCAGGCTTTATAGGACATCAGGTAGGGGCTACCCTGAGCAGGATACCAGTGCATCGCAGGACGCACACCAGTGCACACTACTACTGCTTTAGAGAGACTAATTAGAATGTCAGAACTGCATCTTTGGACTGCGAGAGTAAACCCGTGCAAGATGGAGAAATCATATGAACTCCACATATAGATACAAATGCACAGCAGGGGCTGGACTGAGACCCCCCAGTCTGGAGATGTGAGGCCACAGTGCTGTTTACCAAGCCGCTATATTGCTCTATACAATAAATCAGACAAAATATTAAAGACTGGTTCAAAGCACTTCTTTGTCTGTGTCTTTTGACTTGATTTAATCAGAAATTATTATTATTATTTTTTTTTACTGAAGTGTGTTACTCTTCAGTTTTGTTCGGAACCTAGTTTGGTTTAAGTAAGAACTTAGCAGCGCTGTTGAAAACGACACCCTAGTTTCGTTTAACCTGATCATGGCCGCCGATGCTGTAGGTTAATAGCAGACTCTTCTTCCCCGAATGGAATGGGTGGTTCTCGATGGTGCCGCCTTGTGTGTTGTTTCAGTCCCCTCAACTTAGGCCCTCCAAAATGTCTGCGGACAGGCCTATGTCCCTCACACAGCCCCGATAAGCTGCTATGTAAGTGGCTCTGTAAACGGCAGGCAGCGAGTTGGAAGCCACATGAGGCTGTGCCTCTGCTGGAATGCTGATAGGAAGTGGCCGGGATCCAGGCCTCGTCCCTGGCCTTCTTCTTTGAGCGGAGGCAGAGTTCCAAGACCCAGGCTGATCTTTCCTCTCCGTGGATAAACGAACACACGCTTGGCATTCTGTTGGAGCCGTTTAGCGGCGCAGGCCAAAGCCTATGGTTTCAGTGAAGGAGTGATTATCTGCCCCTCAGGGTACCGCAGCAGCCTGGGGACTAGTTAAAGATACCAGTCACAGAATAGTTAAGGTATTTGCATGGAAAATTACAGGCCTAGTTCTACAAACCTTTGAAGCGAGTCAAGGGTCAGTCGCAGTATTTGCATCACAAATGATTGCAAAACTGTTGTGTTCTTCTTACTGATATCCCTAAGTAGAAATGTCTTGGCGACACGATAGCATTGCTGTCATCCTCGGATATTAAATGTTGGTTGATCTAAATTCCGTTCGTATTTATCGTGGACATTTTGATATCTCTTCTGCAGCTCAACAGAATGTTCCCCGGCGTCCAGTCAGAAAGCTGGGACGCTGTCGGGGCAGTTCCCGGTGAAGGCCGAAGGCAAAGAGCTGAAGATCCTGGTGCAACCTGAGACCCAACATAGGGCACGATACCTGACAGAGGGCAGTCGAGGCTCAGTCAAGGACCGCACGCAACAGGGCTTCCCCACCGTCAAGGTAGCAGGGCGTGGATATATCCGTCTTTTAGCTTCATCTGCTAATTAATGCTAGCCGTCATGTGTAAAATTTCATAACTGCTACAGTGAGCATGAGCACAAGTCAGTCAGTGTTTTAATGCAGAGACATGGGTTGATGTCTTCAGATTACACCCAATGCTGTTTTGGTTATAGCTGTTTTTTTCAGTGATTTGTATGTGAAATATGAAGCTTGCTCACATATTGTTTTTGGAATAAACCATGTGACGTGTAGCTCATTTTCCCTGAATGTTGACATTAGATCATGCATTCATTGTGTAGGAAGTTGATGAAATTACTTTCTAAAGATGCACATTGCTTATTTCCTCTTGCGATAGCCTACGAGCAGAAGTAGTAAATGATAAATCAGTTCCATTTGATGTTACTCCATTGTTCATATTAAAAATATGCCTCTAATGTGTACAGCTGCTGATCATATCATGTGAACATTCTGGAAACCCCATGGCCATTCATGTGCTTCCCACTGAAAAAACTGCCAACATTTGTCTCCACAGTTGGAGGGCGTGAATGAGCCAGTGATCCTGCAGGTGTTTGTGGGTAATGACACGGGGCGCGTGAAGCCACACGGCTTCTACCAGGCCTGCAGGGTGACTGGCCGCAACACGACTGCCTGTAAGGAGGTGGACATCGAGGGCACCACTGTCATCGAAGTGTGTCTCGACCCCAGCAACAGCATGACGTTAGCGTAAGGACCCATCCTCTCGCTCTTATCAGCAGATACGGTGACTCATTGATTTCCGAGTCGTAACGTCGACATGATTAAAAGTGCACGGTGAGCCGCCAGACACAGAAACATAGCTCATAGAATGATACACGCCGTTTACTCCTAAAGGCAACCCTCTGGTGATGTTTAGGAAGTTTTTCTCCCGTCTAATTTGTCTAGAAGAGTAAGGTGCCTCTGAGTAGGAAAGATTTTACTTGTTAGTGGGACAGCCATGTTGTCCTCCCAGATGGTACGTCCGCGGGGTGCTTCTCGTACTAGCGGTACCCCCTGTCTGCAGAAGACTTACGGCGTGTGCCGTAATATGTGTGCATCCCCCGCAGGGTGGACTGCGTGGGCATCCTGAAACTGCGGAACGCTGACGTGGAGGCCCGCATCGGGGTGGCCGGGTCCAAGAAGAAGAGCACGCGTGCCCGGCTGGTCTTCCGGGTCAACATCCCACGGGCCGACGGCACACTTCTCACCCTCCAGGCCCCTTCATCGCCCATCCTCTGCAGTAAGTGTATCCCATACTGCACTGGGGCTCCACCCAACTCTGCTAGGAATCCATCTGTCGCTTTAGGCTTATCCCTCACCTGTGAGATCCACAAGGGGTTTAAGGGATTATACCCTTCCCTTGTCACTGGGTCATGAGGGATTATGTTTGCTATAGCTCCTGTGTCGTATTGGAGGTTCTTGCCCCTATTGAGAATCCGTTGTCATTATAATGCTTCTGATATATTCTTAGATCCTGCTGAAAATACAGTGTTCACATCCAAGCAGCAGGTCACACCCAGTCTTCAGAAACAACAACTTCAGAAAGACTGTCAGAATGCGAGGGAGTAGTTTTTGATATTTAAAATTTGATTTAAGTGTTGAGTATAAAATGAGGTTGTTGACAGTTGAAAATGATTTTGAAATCTCAGATTCCCACAACTTACTGTCTGTCATCAGCCTAATCAAGAGAATAAAGCATGCCTTACCTTTCCCATCAAGCACAGAAAGGCTGATAGTTGTAGGTAACAGAAAGGATTTAACTGCCAGAGCACAAAAAGGTGAGACTTGTTTTCTTTTAGAGTCATGGGCTGCTTGAAGCTTCTCCTCTTGCTGTAATTGCAGTCTGTTATGAAGTTGAATCCCCACTTACCCATAGAGCACCCTGGCTGAGTGAGGCTGGGGTACGTCCTGGACAGCATTCCAGAGTGTCACAATGCACATATAAACCTTCATTCTCTATGGGCAATTTAGAGATATCAGTTGCTTAAATGCATGTCATTGGACCACAGGAAGGCTTTGTTATCTGTTTCCTGTTATCTGGCATGATCATGACTCCGGATCCTGTATCCAGAAGAAAGTCAACATCATGAGCATGATTGATTAGCCCACATACAGGCTGTCTGCTCCACAGACGCTCGTGAGGACAGGAGTTCTGGTGTCTTTTTTTTTTTTGCTTGAATGTCACGCCGCTTCACTTCCATGTCACACTCATGTCTGACGAGAGAATCTGCTATAGCAGCAGGTCATACCTGCACCTTCCCAATCTGCACGTGCTGCTTTATAAAGACGCCTGACTTCATCAGCAACATCAAGAAGGGCCGCCTTCAGAGGCCTACAGCCGCGTCTGCTAACTCGGTCTACAGCAGCGTCTGCCCAGCATGTCAACCCAAGCTACTTGAAAGTGGTTATAAAATCCATAATGGGCGCTCCTTTCTTCTGCAAACATGACCTCACTAGGCATCAGTCAGGTTCGGAATGACAGAGCGAATTGATGTAATCGCACAGTTCATTGCAGCCAAGTTCTGCGTCTTGTCTGCTAGCTCCTTAATGACCACTTTCACAGCTTTTTGTTCTGTTGAAGTGAAAAGTGTCCTCAGAATTCCACACCATCACATGGATGTAGCACGTAAAATTCTTTCAGTCATTTAATGTGATTCTCCGCATCCAACATCCCTTACATGGTCCCTTTCAGGCACCTCTGAATGTCTTCCAGCTTCGCTGTGTTTTGTCATCAGGACCTTTTTTTATATTTTGTTTGAATGAGGCAGAGCTTTACTGTAGTATCATGATCTGAATTGCTGGTGTCGGCGTCTTTATCTTTATCTCGGCCACCTGCCATCTCTCACAGCCCCGCTAACACTTTCACAAGACAGAGTGACCAAGTGGGCACTGCATTGGTGATATCACTAGTGGTAGTGCTGACAGTCATTTCCTGCTCATCTTGCCTTCGCTCTGTAGCCTCCCTCCTCAGCAGATCGCCGCTCTCTCTGACCTGCTTCAGCGCGTCTCTCATCTGCTCCAGCTCATCCCAGAAAGATCCAAGTGTCTTCCTCACATGCTGAGTCGTACTCCAAGCACTTTTAATGTCATTTAATGGCCAACTATCTTTGTCAGTGTTAATCATGAATTTGGTCCAAGTAACACTGATTGTATTCTCTAAGCCCAAGCGATCGTCCAAGTCTTTGTTTAGCCTATCAGACATTTCAGTGCTTGTCACTTCAGGAGGTTCTATATCACCATTAACAGTAGTTGGCTTGGCCTCACTCTTTTTACACTTTATATCAATCATGATTATGAAACTATAAATCTGTGTGGAAATTCAGTTTCAAATTTTGCTATAGTGTAACATCAATTACAGTAACAACACATATACAATAAAACCAAGTACTGTTCTGTTTTTATCATCCAACTATTACTGAAACGGATCGGGCAAAAACATCAGATGAATTTCACTGATTATTTCAGTGATTCATAATCACATGAAATAGAGCTGACCCCTGACTAGATTGCCTAAACAGTGAATCCACACAAAGGAGCAGTGATCCCTGTCCAACACCTGGATATCAAACCGGAGTCACTCTCCAGTACCTTCAAGAAGTCAAATTACAATGCGTATGTCAAATTTAAACATTAATGATTGCAATCACATAAACCAACATTAATTCTGCAGTACTGAGTTATTTTTATATACAGAGTTGGCTGCATCACTTCTTATGTCGTAAAAAAAAGGTGGCTCACCGTATTCACACGTAATTGGTAGATCAGGCAGCTGCAGATGAATCAGCAAGGACCTCCTCTGGAGATGGTTGCGTTTCATAGTGACTAACGTTAATTAATGTAAAATAGATAAAGCAGTCAAAGTATGAGGCGAAAGAAAATGAGAAGATGGAATCTGTGAGACGTGTACGTCTTCGTCAGTGTCTCAACCCCGTGTAGGACCCTCCACAAAGATAAGGTGTTTTTAGCTTCCACAGCCAAGGACACATTCCAGTATATTTCCAGAAAACTCTGTCTTTGTGGACCTAACAAACCTGATGGTGCCATATGGAAAACTACCAGTCAGTTCATGTAGAAGAATGCAAAGTGTGGAGAACACCAAGCACAGGGCAGGGTACAAAACATGCAAAAGTAGGGTAACATCATATTGGTAAGAACATATAATTAAAAATACCTTAATTTCCGAAACTCACATGAAATGGGGGGAACTTGTGAAAAGCTGAGAGGTTTCTGCAACTGCATAGGAATCAGGGGTGGTGGGGGAGTTTGTTATGAAACAGTTTACAACAAAACAAAACGCTGTGTTCTACTTTTGGGTGAGAATGGAGCAGACAAGTGTTGCTGTTTTTGTTAATGACATTACAGTTGGTGCGATGACTGATTGTACCACAGAAGGGAAGCCAGCATGGTCTGTGAACTCAGTCATTTTTAAATGCTGTTTCCGAGGAATTATCAGTATCCCTATACTCCAGTACAGGTTCCCCTGGGGAGTGTTGGGTAACGGCTTTCAGTACCAGGTGGCGATCAGCCATCTTGCCTGTACGAATGCTGCGTGAAGTGGCGGTGCTCTGAAGATACCTAACATTCCTGTCATTTTTGTGGGCAGTATTTCTGCTTGGGAAACGTTTCTGCCTCCCTCATTAGAGAGGCTTACTTGTCTTCTTTTCTGCCCACAGCCCAGCCAGCGGGGGTCCCCGAAATCCTGAAGAAGAGCCTGCACAGCTGCTCGGCAAAGGGAGGGGAGGAGGTCTTCCTCATCGGAAAGAACTTCCTCAAGGGAACCAAAGTCATCTTCCAGGAAAATGCATCAGGTATTGACAGGCTTCCAGGCATTGACATCCAGTGCATCTCATTCCCATCGTAGCTATTGAAGTTGGTGTATTTCCTGAATCCTTATATATCAATAGATAACAGTTAACTAAATTTCTTTTCAAGATGAAAAATCTTGGAAGGCAGAAGCTGAGATCGACACGGAATTGTTCCACCAGGTAATGTGTTTTTAAAAATGTCCATCTAAATGTTTTTAAAGATAAGTTACTTCAATTTGCAAGTTTTTCCCTGCTTTAAAGTACTTGAGGTGCAGTGATTGTCAAAGTGTTTTTTTTGATGACTGATTTCTATGCTATGCTAGTCTGATCCTCTCTGACTTGTTCGTAATTGTTGCCTTAGGCTCTGGCAGTGGATCTGCAGGTTTTCATTTGAATGTTGCAGTTTAAAACCTCAGTTCTTTTTGAATGTTTTCTTTTTGAGTTTTGAATATCTTCCCAGCATCTAAACACCCAGAAGCTTCTCTAGGTAGATGTTTGTTTGTTTCAGCCTCCCCACTTCCTTTTTATTATCTTCATGCTTTTCTGCAAAGCTACAGACATCTAAGCACGCTCTGTATAATTCTCCGCTCTGCACTTCGAGCCTCGCCAGATGAAGCTGATCTTCGGTGTCTCCTTTTGGTTTCCTGCAGAATCACTTAATCGTCAAAGTGCCGCCGTATCAGAACCCGGCCATCTCTGCTCCGGTGTCGGTGGGCATTTATGTGGTGACCAATGCTGGGAGGTCCCACGATGTTCAGCCTTTCACCTACACTCCAGAGCCAGGTGTGTGTTTGCTGCACCAGCTTTTGCACCAGCTGCTTTTGTTTCCAATACCATGCTTATTGCAGTAGATGTGCTCATGCGTTAGAAGCATGAGGTTTATCTCCCTATCTGCTGTTGTGAAACCAGGCTGGTGTTCTGTCTCTATATGCAATCAGCTCCAGGGGCAGACTGATGAAGAGGCTACCCTAGGCAATAGCCTACAGCCCCCTGCATCGTCTTGAATTCTCTCTCGTTTCGCTTTCGGCTCTAAAAGTAGCTTAAGTAGCCCGTTTTGGGCTCTCCTAACCATGTTGGCCTAGGAGCTGCAGTAAATTAATCCGCTCCTGGTCAGCTCTCTTTATTCTGAGGTAATGCTCAGAAATGGAGAGCAAAACCAATGAAAAATGTTTGCATTTTTTAAATAAAGTTTATATACATATATATTAATCTGGGTACCCTGATGACATGCTTGAAGTGCAGCACTAAGTTCTCTTTTCCACTGCACCAGGTACCGTACTTTTGGTTATTCATATTTATTACAACAGTCACATGGCAATATTTGGAAATTTTCAATATTGTGCTATCCTAGTATATTATACAAAATAGTTTTTTACTTCTTGTCATGCCGTCTTGATCTTGTTATATCTGTTCTTCCGATCAGATGGCAATTAAGGCTTGATATCTTCATTTGTCCATGCATCCATTATTACTACATTTTTTTTTATCTTCGTTTATTGTTGTTTGCTGAGTTTTCAAGGCGGCATTTGTATTGTATTTCAGAGGCAGGCTATTTGCATAATCAGTTGACAAAGGCAGTGTTTCAAGTCCCACCCCAAGTACAGATGTACCAAAAAAGTACCCCAGCTGGTTTGGCACTTTAGGTACTGTAGGTACTGGAATCTAATGGGAAAACAGAAAGTACCGAATGTACCGCACCAAAAATTCAGAACCTGGTGCAATGGAAAAGCGTCCTAGCAAGCCCTTTTGTACCAGACAAAGCTAGATGGCGCCAAAATTAAGGACTGAACCTTGCATCTTCCTCGGAAGTCCTTTAGCAGTGTGAATCTGAGATCTGCAAATATATACCATGAATGCCTACAGGATTTAATTATAATATTGACAACACTGACAAAGTCCAGTTTCAAAGTTATTCTTTTTAAAATGCTGTACCAAGTAGCTGTACATGTCAATTTTATGTCAAAGCAATATTAAACAAAACATTGCTTTTTAATGTATTGACGTTAAGTGTCTCCCATTATTTTTCTCAACTTGCAACTTTTATATTAGATATGAGAAATTAGACAATGTGTGGCCCTAACAAGGCTGTGTGCGTGTGGATCTCTCAGCAGTGAAGGTGGTTGATGTGCCAGTGAAGACGGAGACATCGCCCCCCCCCAAACCCTGCTCTTTTGAAGAGCATATGAAAGGTACTTTGGTTGCTGTTGACTCAGCGTTATTTATAAAACCTGGGATTCAGTTTTTTCCGTTTTTGTAATTACATTTTTTGACCCAGCAATTAATAAATATAGTGCACTGGGATATTTGTATTTTAATTGTATGGAGGTGCTAGTAATACCATTTTACTTTTTAATTGAATTTAACAGTTATGTTTGCTTCGTACAGACTTTTGATGTTGTGTTGAGCAATTTAAAAGGGTTGACTTTTGTGCAAAAACTCTTTTTTGTGGTTTTGCTGCTGTTCTTCAGTGGCGTGTGGTATGTGTAACGTGCCTTTTCTTTGTTCCTGTGCAAACTGGGTGCTCTCAGTCATACAAAGCAACAACTGTACCCTGGAAAGCACTCTGATGGTGCCCATGATGCCTCTCGTTAAGAGGGAGGAGGTCACTCCCATGGAGGTGTCCAGCAATGCCGCAGCAACAGCCGTCTTCAAGGTATTAAAAAATGTAATAATGATAACATGCTTTGCTTTTATCAGACATCCACCTCTTTTGGTTTATAAATCGGTCATTGGATATTTATTGGCTTCCGTTGCTGTGTTCCGCTCAGACATCCGATGCGATTGTGGCTGCACAGCAGCCACTGGACGTCCCTGCCAGTAGCAGCCCCTTCCCCGGCCCCATGGCCAGACAGCAGGGCGACCCCGAGCCGCCACAGGGGGCAGTCTTTGCCACGGCTGAGCCGCTAAGCACCATCCAGAAGCAGGACCTGGCACCCAGCGCCTCGTTCCCCGTGACGGGGGACTCCCTGCTCCAGCAGGTGCCCCAGTCCTTCCTCCTGGAGCCCGCAGATGGCCTCAGTCGAGAGGGGGCTGAGGGCACGATGGTAGGCCTCGCCCAGATGGTGGACGTTCCTCAAGCCCAGACCCAACAGCCACAGCTCCCCCTCTTCTCCCAGGATGGGGTCGCTCAGCTGGAGAGGGCAGTGAGACAGCTGCAGGCCGGGGGCTTCTCGGCCAGCGGGCCGGGCGGCAGCAGCTTGGTGCAGCAGGTCCTGGAGGCGGCCGCACATCAGCAGCTCAACTCGGTTTTGTACAGCTCCGCCCCTCCCCCGGAAAGTATCCAGCAGCAGGTCCAGGAGAACATGAACAGCCTGCATCTGCAGTCCGCTGACAGCCCACTGGCCAATCAGCAGCAGCAGCAGCAACAACAGCAGCAGCAGCAGCAAGTCCTGGAGAACCTCCAGCAGCTCCAGTCGGAGCTCTTCCAGCCTCAGATTCCCATGCAGTGCTCCATCTTCCCGGGGGGCTCACGCAGTGAGACCCCTGAGCAGCAGGGCTCTCCGCAGACCCTGGTCCAGGGCCACGGTGCCCTTTTCCAGCCGCCTGACGGTTTGATTGGCAGTGCCGCACAGCAGCAGCAACAACAGCAGCAGCAGCAGCAACAACAGCAGCAACAGCAGGTGGCCCTTTTCCAACAAACGGGGGAGCTGCTCTCCATCCAGACGTCCAGCTTTCTGCAGCAGCCTTCTGCTCACCCCTCTCCTAACCAGCAACTCTTTCACACCCCGAGCCCCTTGACGGACACGCAGGACCAGCAGAGGGCTCTGTTTCACGCCCAGAAGGGCCAGTCCACCCAGGAGCAGGTCCAGGCGGCCATCTACCAGAACACGCTGAACGTGCTGACCGGCTCCAGCCTCTCTCAGGAGCAGCAGTCCGCGGGCTCCGGCCTCTTCCTGTCGCAGAGCGCCCTCCAGGGGCAGCTCACAGCAGAGGCCGGTCAGCAACAGCAGCAGCAGCAGCAGCAGCAGCTGGCCTTCCTCACCTCCATGCAGACGCCAGGCGCCGAGCCGCAGCCGGTCTCCGTGTTCCAGGCGCAGCCGCAGCTGGCGTCACTGCAGCAGAGCAGCCCCATGGAGCAGCAACAGTCTCCCCAGCAGCAGCAGGGATCCCTCTTCCAGAGCCTGTCCCCCCACACCCCCAGCGGGGCACTCTCGCCCAGCCCCCAGCAGCCGCAGCCAGCCAGCCTGCTGTACTGTGGCAGCCCCCTCAACCCCCAGGAGCACCCCCCCGCCCTGCTCTTCAGCAGCCAGGCCCAGATGGGTGCCGGGGGCCTCTCCTCGCAGGAGCCCACGAATCAGGCGCTCCTCTTCCCTCAGAGCGTTGCCCAGCAGGAGCCGTTGGAGCCAATGTCCTTCCAAGACCAGAGTTCCACGGTGGGGAACCCGTCCAGCAGCGAGTCCCCCAAACAAGGCCTCTTTCAGGAGCAGCAGCCCATGCAGCTGGTGCCCAGCTCTGCTGGTGCCCCCGAGCAGCCCATCGCCATCTTCATGCCCCAGGCCACGATGACAGCCCTCCCACAGACCTCCATCTTCACCACGCAGAACGGGGGCCTGCAGACCACCAGCTCCTCTCCTGTGCAGCAGCCCGGCACGCTGTTCCAGACGCCCGTGAGCGGCGCCATGAGTCAGCCCGGGCAGGACCAGCAACCGGGGCTCTTCCTCTTTGGGATCCAGAATGGTGAGGGGCGTTTGCCTTGGCGGGGAGCTCTTCTGCTTCGTGTCTAATTTTTATGCAGTTTGGTATGTTAAATTACATGGGTTAGTGTGTGACTCTTAGGGTTATGAGGCTTAGGATGTTGTGCTTGCGATGGGAAGGTCGTCGGTCCAATCCCAGTTGCTCCAGGGGTGCTGGATGCTGGTTGATGCTGTGCTTTGACCCCTAACTGACCCCTAATATTTCCGTGTGTCTCATGGAGAGCAAGAAGGGATATGTGAAAACTTTTCCAGTTCTGAATAAAATATTATTAAAATCTGAGGTTTTAACTTTGTCTTACAGTTAACTCATTACACTTCTGAATGTTTCCACATTCCTTTCATATGAATTTGAAAAGCTAAAATCTTTATATGCTAACTACTTCATCTGTGGTATACAGGTTAAAATGCAAGGTATTGTCTCGTCATAGCAGCGCAAATGCACATAAAATAGTTTCCGGGGGCTCATGCGGCTGCCTACCCCTCCCTTATTTGAAATCTACCCCAGGTTGTCAAGATCTACCTAAAAGGAATTTCAAAACATAATTTAACAGTACGCCAAAAGAAGTCAGATATCGGAATATGTTTTCATGCTCCCATTTCTGTTGCTTAGCTAATACTTCTGCATAATACAGTTTATTTAGCTGTACAGAATTAGTTGAAACACACAATACCATGGCATCTCCACACTACAGAACACAAAGGAAATGGGTGGTATAGTGCAGAAGATGTTAGGTCAGAATTAATTGATTTCTGATTTCAGACCTGAAGGTTCCAGGTATGAAACTTACTAGGAGATGCATGATGGGTAACATACCTGTATTCAGGCTGTTCTTACCGTTTAGCAATGTATTTTACAGTTGCACCAGTGAAAGCTCAGCTTAATGCTAAATCTAAAAGGGCCTCAGAGTGGAGACACAGTACATGTTTTATGTTTCAAACTTGAAAAACATATTACTAACAGAGACCATACTTAAACTTCTTCCAAGTGCCACAAGGCAGCTCTTGTTTCTTTGGCCATGAGGCGATAAACCGCGATTTATTTTCGTCATGTCTAGAGCAGGGGTGGGCAGTCTTACCCAGAAGGGGCTCCCGTGTAATGCTGGTTTTCACTGCAACTCCCTAATTAGATTACTAATGACTGGCTGAAGAGTCCTCACATGTGGGTCTGAACAGCTGACCTAAAGGTTACCCTAAAAACCTGCGTGCACACTGGCCCTTCGCACACTGGCCCTTCGCACACTGGCCCTTCGCACACTGGCCCTTCGCACACTGGCCCTTCGCACACTGGCCCTTCGCACACTGGCCCGGTGGCTACACTTCGTGTCAGTGCTTGACGACTTCTGTTGTCTCCCCAGAGTGCGGTCAGCTCATAGATTCTCCTGGGCCCACACTGTCCGACCAGCTCATCGCCATGAGTCAGTCGGGCCAGAACCAGCGGGAGAATGATGCTCAGATCCAGTCCCTCCTTAACCAGTCCATGTCTGAATCCGGGAACATGCAGAACAGCCTGACAACCTCCCAGAATATGGAGAAAATTGATGACCTCCTTGTGAGCCTCCAGGATCAGAGGAACAACCTCTCCCCCTCCTACTAGCAGGACCTTTGGACTCAGGTGATTGACTGAGTCATAGTACTTTTGTTACAGTTTATGTTGGCTATAAACATTTTAATGGCTAATATCATCCTTTGTTTTAAGTTAAGGTGATGCAATTTCCCACGAAGCTCCTGAAATGTCAGTTTGATCCTCCAGTAATCTTTCCTACGAGATACACACGGTTCCCGGCCACCTTATCTTCATCCATCCCCCCGGACCAGTGACATTTACATTCCACAAAATGACTTGACCGTAATGGAAACCAAATAGCCAAATTACAGCTGTGAAGTTCTGAAGGATCTCACACTTCATGCTTTTGGATCTCCGTGCAGATTCTGGGAGGACTCCCGCCCATTCGAAACCGAGATGCTGCAGAGGAGGAGTGAGTGGCCACAGAATCCTCTTCAAACTAACTGCCCCCTCAAGACATTGGCTCCTCGTGGCTCGAACACATCTCAGCTGAGACTGGCACAGAAGATCAGTGTCAGATGTCAACTGGACCTGATGGGTGGTGGGGGGGGGGGACGACAAAGGTTACTTTATCCCAGTTTGTCACATTGTTGGAATATAATTGCTATTCCCCAAGAGATGACAGAATCATTGTTGTGTAGCCCTCTACTGTTAAGTAACAGTCGTTACCATGTCAGTTGACGAAACGGTTTAACGTCTCAGTTCTCAGCGTAGCACATTGCAGCCCCCCCTACAGGGGGGTAGATGTCAGTGAGCACAAAGGTGCCCTGTAGTTTAGAGTGCTGCCTGTGTCTAGTCCTAACTGTTTATGAAACCACGGTTCTTTTTTAATGTTAAAGAACTGTTTTAGGTAAATAATTGAAAAGAAGATCTACAAAGCAAGAAAAAATGTCCCTTTGTATATTTTTGACATTAGACTTTCGGCACTTTATAATACTTTACTTTGAGACCAGTTACCCCTTGTACTGACCTGCAGCGCTCTCCGTCTCCGTCTCTGTCTCTCTCTCTCTGCTATTTCATTTTTTACAAATTATTTGTAAGTCTCTTGATTGTTATATGAACATCTCTGCCCATATTTACTGTACATATTTATAGTATTTTCTTACTCATGCATGCTTTTTTTAACTTAAATTTTATAAGGAGTTGGATTCATTGAAGCCCCCCGCCCCTCCTGCTCCATTTTTACCCAGACCCTAAAGGGTATAACGTAAATTTCTCACACTGGTCGCTCAGAATGATGGAAAACAAGATGAAGACAAGGGAGAGGTTAAGGGGGGGTGAAGATATACTGTAGGCCAGAATTTAGGTCATTCATAAAATGCAGTGTGCTCATAACCATATATAACAGTGTACACATAAAATCTGTGTGTGTCTATTCAGAATAATGTAGTGTATATTGTTAATTATACTGCGTGTACATATATACATATATACTTTATTTGTTAGTGATGTCTCTACGGTGGATGTCATAAAAAATTTTCAGCATCTGGCACATGTAATATAAAGGGGTGAATTGGCATTGGATCCTACAGGAGCTCTCTGCCCCTTGTAGTACTAGCGTGAAACGCGTAACGCAGCTGTATGTGTGACTGGAAGGCAACAATTTTCCCGCTGTGGGACTCATTCACTCACTTTTACCTTCGTCAGTTTTTTGCCATGTGACGTGGTGCTACGTGCAGGAGGGATAGAGACTTTTATCATTTTAACTATATTAACAGTCATGTTTGTATTAATGTTGGTCTTACTGTACAACCCCCCGCTCTTGCCTCATGCTCCGCACCTGGCTTTGTGCAAAATTGGGAAAATTGGGGGAAAAACGGCAGGCAGATGTCTGACATTTCATCACCTGCCACCCCATTACACATCAGCACCCTGCCAACGTTATGGCTGAAGCTGGCATATGTTTGCATCTTCTTTTCTCTTTTAACAGAGTAGGAGTGGAAATCGTGTGCTTTTTTTTTTCTTTCTTTCTTTCAAACACCTGGTGGTGTGTAAAGCTGTAAATCTCAACCTGCTGGGTGCTTCTCAAAGCTGCCAAACTCGTTTATCTATTTCCACACACGTACCCCGAGTGTGTGGCTGGAACAGACAGGGCTCTGGCTAAAGTTTTGTTCATAGTGTGACTATGCAGCTAAAATATTTGCCGAACCTGAGAGATTGGTCTCTGTGATGACGACAATGAAAATGGCGCCGTGAAATCTTCTTTTTACATCTGTGTCCTTGTTGGTGTTTTTAACTGTTGTTATAATAATTACATTTACTAATTGTTGGAAATAAGCAGCTTTCCATAGCGGGTGTTTGTGAAGGTCATCAGTGAAGGGCCCTTTATCCTCTCAATACTCAAGTGTTATCTTTTAGTTGTTTAAAGGAACCTACTACAGAATCTGTAGCTGCAAGTGGACTTCTGAAGGAAATTACTGTCTGTGATTTAGATTTTTTTTTCCCTTCAACTTGGATGTCAGATTTTGTTTCCAATATGGATTTTTGTATATTTTTAGTTTCATTTTTCCTGGTTTAGATCTTGGCCATTGCCTCTCTTTCATCACATATATGATTCACATTCACATTCAAGACTGACAGCAGTGAATGACAATTATCATCTACGATTGACTTCACGTACAAGTAAGATTTTGGTTTAAATCCACGGCCCAGTTCTTAATATTTATCCTTCTCTAGTTTTCCCATTAAAAATGGATATTTGGCTGAGCAACTCCCTTCTGAAATTGCAGTTCAAAAAATTATGTAATCGTAATGGAACGTTCAGCATTATATTACAACATTATTGGAAAAAATCCCAGATGTACCTTGTACACTTGATTGAGAGACACATTTTTATTGTTTATATGCTTTTTCTTATGCTTGGTTTTTCCCTAAAAACGAAGAGTGCAACAATATAGAGAACTGATGTTTTTGTGGGGAACCTATGCTGTACTATCAACATGTGCAACTTATGACATTTCATCATGCAAAGCACAGGTTTCCATGCATTCTGGGACAACAATGATAAGTGACATCATATAAGTGGTAAAACATTAATCAAAACTCTGATTTCAGAGTCATAAAGACATGTACATTGTGTACATTACCTCATAAAAGGTGTAGGTTGTACTTAGACCTCCTACATCTGAGATCGGACCAATTAAGATAAGACATTCTTTATATATTCTTATACATAAAAATATTTTGGCAGTGGAATTTGGTAAAATTTATTTGATAAGAATAAACACGATGAATGATCCGTCTTTTTTTCCTTCCAATCTCAAGCACACAGTCGTTTTTAAATATCACATTTTAATAGTTGTGTTTTAGGGGGCCAATTTTTAGGGTACATTTCTTTTGCCTTGATGGTCTTTGAGATGTTTGGATGGAACCATTGTGCAAGAAAAACATGCTCATTTGCATACTCATGTACATATACACCTAACTGTTAAGACATTTAAAGAACTACATTGCAAGTTGAAAGATGATATTTCATATGTTGGAATGTGAAGCAGATGGCAGGGAGTATTTCAGGCTATCAGTTAGTACATTGTTTGACATGTGTGTGCCTTGACGAACCTTTTATGTGTGTTTAATCAAAATGTAATTTCCTGTACCAATGCTGCCTATTTCCTTTTGTCAGTGGTACAGATGTCAGTGGATGTTATTTTCAGTAATGACTTGCAAGCCATTGCATCAGATGTGTGTGGTGGACTTTTACCCATAAAGAATAACCTGTCCCTCTCCCCTCCCTATCCAGTGACCCAGTAAGTGGGTGCGTCTGTGACTTCTTTTTTTGTATAACTCATTTTTACAAAAGCATTGAATTTATCTTGTGAGACTTACCTGCAGTTGAAGTCTTGTGTCAAACTGCTATGCAGCTTGATTTGGTACAACTGTAAACCTGTTACTACTCTTTTCTTGTTAGCCACTTGTGATTTTTCATTACAAGAGGAAGGGGAAGCTATGACTAAATATTATAATTATGCTGATTTATTTATGTAACTTATGGGTTTTTTCTTTTTTGTTTGTTTGACGCCAAGGCAGTTGGCCATGTTGCCCTGGGGCCGGGGTGGGTTGTGGGTAGTGGGGGGGGGGGGGGGGGTTAGAGAGCTCATAACCAATCAACATGATCTAAAAAATTTCACTGAAAGTTTTAAACACACCCATCACCAGCGTTTTGTGTGTCTTTGTTTATATTAGTTTTATTTTGCCTTTTGAAAGTATTATTGGTCAGCTTTTGCACCATTCTCATTGTGTGTCCCTTTAACCTGTTGTTTTGATGTGAACACTTGCTTTATCACCTGTAGATGTGTCCTTTATTTCTGAGCTTTAGTAGTTGACAAACAGCACTGATTTGGGAGGAGTCTGGAGAATAGTTTGCCTATGTGTGTTTAGTTACCTAGGTGAACAACTAATTATTAAAATGGAGAAATATATGTATTTTGCTTTTGTCAAGACATTTGTATACTCTTGCAATTATATTTCTGTATACTTGCTGCTATCTATATCAATAAAAATAGATTTTAAGTTTTTCTTTTCCATTTGTGGTATTTACTGTGTGTGAATTTATTAATATTGTAATATCTTTAAGATTTGCCTGTATACATTAGCTTGACTTGAGTGAGTTTAGGTGATGTCGTGATCCAGAACAAAATGGCTGGTATTTCCACTCCACGGCTGGAAAACACGCGTTGTACAATTATACAATATTAATTTAAAAACTAAAGTCAAGGAAATGCTCAGTGGGTTCATGAGCAGGTCTAACTAAAAAATTAAAACGTCTTACAAAAAAGTATAATCGAGGAAAGTACATAAATATAACGCAATAAATGATACATTTTCATCATGCATGCAGTTATACCTTAATAATCCGATGACATAATTGGGAAGCGCAACATCATCCGGTGCTTCTCCGTGCATGACGTAGGTTAAGCCCACCTCCACGCAGCTTCGCCAAATATCCTTCCGCAGCTATCCGGAAGAGGATTTCTTCGTAGTGCTTTGTGCTGTTTCCCATACTGTAAGCAGGGGATCATGGCGGACGTGGTATTAACCGATGGGGAGACCAAACTTAGCAAAAAGTGAGTAGACGCACCACAATGTTATTTCATGTATAACGTAGCTAAATTTGAAACCGATCATATGTAGAAATATATTAACCAGATACAACCGGCTAGCTTCCATGCTACGCGATTTATCGTTGCACAAAAATTGCATCAGGTTCACGAATTGGAAGCCGGGAAACCGAGTCTGAGTTGATCTGCACGTGGGATCTGAAGAAATACAAATCCCGTCGACCTTTGCGTCACTGAGCTGTTCAGTATGACTGTTACTTGTAGTCATATTTTTGCTATTTCACACTCAGTTCATATGGTATCTGTTGAAAGAGTACTCCAATTCCCGTGAGATACTGAAACGAAAGCGCAGAATATCTGCCATGTTCCCAGAGTCCATTATGTGACGCTGGTGGCACTAGTGAACTACTTTATCCTTGAATATTTTGACGTGTACGAAATAACCATGCTTAAAGAAGTTTTGCTTCATGTTATCTAAGAGGGAAGGACTTTCGCTTTTGCAAGCAGAATATCGAGAAATAGTCATGATTGATTTAGCCCAAAATTAAGACCGAGGAGCATCGTATGCTTTTGAGTTAAACGTGAAGTGACCGATCGATGTGCTTATGCCGGTTAGGTAGCCAGCTAGACACTGTAGTGTTACTAAAATGTAGGAAACAGAGTAAATTAAATTGAGGCAGCGTGTCTGTTTGTTACCCGTCATTTCAATAAGACAAGACATACTTTATTTCTTAGCACGTTATTGCATGACTGTCCAAACGTATATTTGCTATGTAGCTAAGCAATACGGCAAACGAACATGTCTGAGCTCTAGGTAGAATCCCTCTATTATTCAGCAGCATTTCATGAACTTCCTGATTATCTCTATTAGAGTGTCACATAAAAGTGCAAGGATTAGTAGGAGTTCTTATTACAGTTGTAAGAAATTATTGAAGGATGTACTGCAGTCTTGTGAAATGGTGGGAGACCAGGATAGGCACGGTGGCTTTTCTATGAATATGTGTGTCTCTCTCTAGGTCTGGGCCGTGACGGGACTAGTTTGGTAGCTCAGCTCATCACACCATGCTGACTCTCGTTAGATATGCCAGGCAGCAGGTGTTCCGATCTTTGGGGGTCGGGGTTCAGAGGTCAAATTTAATTCTCCCAAACACAACTGCCATCCCCTCTCGTCTTCTGGGGACTCGGTTGCAAGATGACAAAAGGTTGGTGGCTTTTCCCTCTACCCAGAGAAAATAAAAACGACCAACCTTTTGCCATCCCCTAAACCTTTACTATGACTGCACTAGCTGCAGTAAACTTTTGACCAGTGTGGCTGTAGCTGAGCTGATCTTGTTCACTTACACCTTTCCTCCCAGTGAGCTGAAGAGGCGCCAGAAAGCCGAGAAGAAGGCAGCGGAAAAGGAAGCCAAGGCCAAAGAGCAAACTGGTCAGAAAAAAGAGAACGAGGACAAGGGGGAACAGAACCTGTACAGTGCCGACGAGGAGTCTCTAGACCCCAACGTGAGTTGTTTTAAAAATTCTGAGCGATGCCACATAGAGGAGCTGATCGGCCCTCAGATAGCTTGAACAGGGCTTCCTGTTTTGTTATCATAAAATATATTATCACGTAATCTTAGATTCCTGAGACCTTTGTTTGCCTGGATCATACAGGGAAGGAAAAAACCATTTAGAAATTCCTTCCCACATTTCCCAAATTCATAGAAACAATTCCCTAGCGTAATATGGCTGACAGAGAGCATTGTTGTAATTTATACTGATACTTTTTAATAATTCAACTATTTTTTAGATATTTAACCTTGAAAAGCTGGTAGAATCTCATCTTTAGGTTCCTCTATAAAATGGTTGCTCATCTTTGATTGTGTGTACATCCATATTGCAGTGTTATCATGCTGTGTGCCCTGAGATGCAATAACATCCAGAGGTGTATGTTTCAGGTCCAGAAAGTAAAAATTCAGACCAGGGTTTTGTTTCAGTCACCCAGTTGAGTATAAAACAATAATCTACAAAGGTCCAGTGTGTATGCAGTGTTACGATCTCCTAGTTTAGGGTTTTGGGGTGTAACAGAATAGGTGTGTGTGTGGGTGTAGAATAGGACATAGGAGTCAGTGGTATAGTAAACCCGGAAGTGTCTTTACTAAGATCGCTGGCATCGCAGCTTATTTACAGGCCTCAGGAATGAGCCATATCAAAACAACAAACCAAACAAGCTAACGCCAGGAATTCTATCTACCTTTCCTGGACGAAAACAAAAGTACTTCCCCCAATCTCTCTAGCCAACAGTTACAATAAACCAAAAATGAAATGGCAGTCAAACCCTACGTACACTCTTATCACAATCACTCTCTCAAAGCGTCAAAACCAAGGGCTGGACTTAACCGTAGATGAAATGCAAAGATCGAAAGTTGGTAAGCAGAAAATGAAGCGGAGGATTAGTGGCAGTATCAGGGGCAAAGCAAAGCGAAAGGCAAGTTACCAGGCAACAAACAGAGGTCATACACCAATAGTCAGATCAGAGTAAGTCGCAATCCCGAAGAACACGAGAGAGCAAGCCAGCAAATAGCTGTTGGTTTCGGTGTAGTTGATCTTTTTCTGCAGAAGGTCCATAAATGATGTCATCGGGTCGAACAAGGCATGGGCGGGGCCAACAAATCCCCTGGTCAGGTCACTAGCCAGACGTCATGACGTGACATCAGTCGAAGCAAGCTTATGGCTTGTAACAGCAGATTTTTCACCTTTAGTTCAGCTGGTCAAACCCAGGTGTGAGTACTCTTTAGCCAGTCTTCTAATTAGGGAGTTATGGCGAAAACCTGCACACACAGCAGCCTCTTCTGGATAAGATTGTCCATAGTCACAGTCAGAGTACTCAACTGGTTGATTGAAATAAAATTTTGGTCTGGACCTGAAATGTCCACCTCTGATAGCATCCAGCCCAGGGTGTCCCTTGCCACATACACTGGCTGTGTTAAAAGCCCCAGGCTCGTTGAGAGTGTTGAAGAACATGAATAAACAGAATGTCTGATATTAACCAGTGAATTCTGATTTTTTTTTGCATCTTATGAAGCAGAAATGTGACTCGTTCTAATCTCATGTATTTGGACATACACTGTTTTCTCTCTTACAGTATTCATTTATGCATCAGAAATCACAATTCCAACTCTCTGCTGTTTTATGTCCCTACCATTTGTACTATTAGTCTTACAACAAAGGCTTTCCTCTGTCATTGTTCATATAATTTGTTGATAAATTGATCACATCACAGAAAAGAACCAACAAGCTCATGCCCTGGTCCTGCTTGTTGTCTCATCTGAATGGTACTCTTTCTCACCGCAGCAATACTACAAGATACGTACGCAAGCCATCCAGTCGCTGAAAGGCACGTCGGAAGACCCCTACCCTCACAAATTCAAAGTGGACTTGTCACTCACAGAGTTCATCGAAAAGTACGAAAACCTGCAGTCTGGGGACCAGCTGATGGATGTTGTCCTCAGTGTGGCCGGTAGGAGCCTGGGGGACCCTGGTGTCATTGGGTTGTCCTCAGAGGTGGATAACTCGGGTCCAGAAAGTAAAAATCTTGACCAAGGTTTTGTTTCAACCAATCAGTTGAGTATAAAGAGTCACAATCACAGAATACTGGTTGGTCAAAATAAAATCTTGGTCTGAACTTCTACCTTCCGTACTTGAACTGTCCACTCCTGGTCGTCCTTGAGACATTCGTTCTGCAGTGCAACCATGTGCTAACCTTGACAGGCCGTGTTCATGCCAAGAGGGCTTCTGGTGCCAAGCTGCTGTTCTATGACCTCCGGGGGGAGGGCAAAAAGTTGCAGGTGATGGCCAACTCCAGGTATGTACCTCTGAACTGTACTGCTGCTAGTCTGCCAGTAAATCATTCTTCTATGGGGGTGGTGTGTGGCTTAGTGGGTTAGGGCGTTGTGTCTGTGATAGGGAGGTTGCTGGTTCAAATCCCAGGGTTGGCAGAGATTTTACCACTGGGTCCTTGAGTAAGGTTGTGTTTACCCTGCTTTTAAAAAAAAAAAATAAAAAATTCATCACTTTGGATAAAAAAAAAAAAGCATCTGCTAAATAAGTAATGTAAATATTATACTTTATTCTACAAATCTGAAGTATTTTGCATAGCTGTCCTGTATTGTTCTTAGTTTGAAAGAAAATCCCGTTAATCTAAACTGCCATCCTTTTCTCGTCACCCTCTGTCACACCAGGAATTACAAATCGGAGGAAGATTTTGTGGCCATAAATAACAAACTCCGCCGCGGAGACATCATCGGTGTCCGTGGCAACCCCGGGAAGACCAAAAAGGGCGAGTTGAGCATTGTCCCCATCGAGATGACCCTGCTGTCCCCCTGTCTCCACATGCTGCCGCACCTGCACTTTGGCCTGAAGGACAAGGTGAGCCGCGGTGGGAGATATGCACTGGCGTGCTTCACCCCGTTCCGCTGACCTGTGTTTGTGATCGGAAGGTTGCTGGTTCAAATCCCAGGGCTGCCAGAGTGTGTTTTTTTTTTTTTTTTAATTTTTATTTAACCCCCATTTGCTCCAGGGACTATCTGACTTTGCTTCCTCTTTGGATAAAAACATTTCCTAAATAGATGTAATGAAAGACATGGGTATGAAGGGAGGATGGGGAGTGCAAGCTTCGCTCCAGGCCAGATGCCAGTGGATGCTGGAGTGGAGATGGACTTTACAATGCAGTGGGGAGACACGAAAATAAAGGAGAAGGGCTACAACTAGAGATGCACCGATTGCAATTTTCTTGGCCGATTCCAATTTTTTATTTTTTTTGCAAGTGTAACTTGCCGATATTGATTTTTTGCCAATTGCGATCTTCTTTCTAAGAACTATAATTGACAGCATATATAAACAAAATAAACTTTTCTTCAATGCAATTTTTTTTCCAAAATAACTTTCCTCCAAACTGCACTGAGTTACAGGATCTCTCACTTGAAACAGGTACAAATAACAATTAACTGAAAATGAGCTGCTGTACACCCAACTTTATCTGACATATTTTAGTTTACCAAACAAGAGCAAGTGCAACAGATTTAAATAAAACA